AAAAAAAAAAAAAAAAAAAAAAAAAAAAAAAAAAAAAAAAAAAAAAAAAAAAAAAAAAAAAAAAAAAAAAAAAATGCACAATAATTTATAACCACACACACACAGACACCCGCACGTAGTTATTTATCTGAGCGCGCTACTTGAAAATTCCACACCAGTGTTTGCTGCATGCACCGTTATGCAAAATGCGTAAGCGATTTTCAAATGCAAACACGCACACATACACACAGTTTCACACATATATAAACGCATATACACGAAAATGCCTGAAAATCGCTGGCCAAATCTGCAAGCACTTGGGCAATGAAAGGATTGACCGCCACTGCGTCCCCCATGCGTCCACCGCAGGCGTCCGCCGCTCAGCCGCAGGCACAAGGCCACCGGTGGGCACTCATTAATATGCAATACCTGCTGCCGGTTGCGGTATGCGTGTGTATGCAAATTTTATTGGTTGTTGTCATTTTCAATTTTGTTGTTGTCATGACATGTTTTTATTTTGTTGCCAAACGTGCTCCTGTTTTTACAGAAAACTTAAATTTTGTATGGAATTTTTGTGCGGAATTCTTTTTTGTGCGCTAGAAAAGTTCCTTTGTTATTCAAACTAAATTTATTTCTTACCCTAAGCGCTGTTTGGTCTTTCATTTTATTCGAAAATGTTATTTTATTATGCACTGCTTGCAGTGGAGAGCTTCTTCAAATTGATACTCCCACCGTTGCTGCTGCATTTTAATTATTTGCTTGAGAGAGCTTCTTTGTTAATTTTTCCGAAATATTTTTCTTTGTGCGCCGAGGCGTGAGAAACTAAAAAAATAGCAATAAATTTGCACAAAGTAATAAATAAATGCGCGCTCAAGCGAGTTCAACTGCATAATTGAAGTTGCTTTCGCTCAATTAGACAATTGCAAAGACACATTGTGGCTATTAGAGTTATTTTTATGAGCGTCCATGGCGTATGCGCAATATTTTTTAAATGCTCTATAAGCTTTAACAATTGGCGCGATAAAAGTGGAGGTACGCGTTCTATATTTATGTGAATATGAAAGGAATATATCTGAACTTAGTATCCACGCAAAGGTAATACGGCTGTGTAAACGGACGTTGAGCAATACCAGAAGTTCGAGAAGGCCTCTCCTAGCCGTTTGATACCAAACGAGGTTTCAGACAAGGCAACTCCCTATGACTTCTTCAATCTGCTGCTGGAGAAAATAATTCGAGTTGCAGAACTTAATCGAGCAGCTACAATTTTCTATAGGAGAGTACAACGGCTGGCGTATGCCGGTGATATTGATACATTGGCTTCAATACCGGCGCCGTTAGTTCTGCTTTCTCCAAACTGGAAAAGGAAGCGGACTGGCTCATGTTTGCTGACCAGAATATGTGTTGTCTTAGCAAGCATGAGCATGAATCTTTAGACTCCACTTCCAGTATGGTTGTCGAGACGATGTATGACCTGTGGAGTCGACAAAAACTCTCGATCTGGACTTTGCATATGTACCGTGCATCTTGTTTGGGATCTTAAACAATAAACGCCAGCGGAGAAAGCGGCCAGCTTGAACTATTCTGTACCACATTTTGAGGCACTAGCCTGCAACAATATTTAAGTAGCTCTAAAACTCCACTTTTCCGACCATTAGACATGGTTTTAACCAAACATCACATACTTTCACTCCAACTCGTAGTAGCTTAGGCGCTTAGCACCAGGCTCTAGAGAGACCAACACAGCACTAATTACAAATTAATGCGTAACAGCAAGAAATTACACTAATACATCCACCACAACCGTCGTCTTCCTCTGGCTAACCCTCAAGTAATTTGCACATGTGTACCAGGTCGGTTTATAAAAGCAAAGATGACTGAGTCTTACGTGACAGCTATTAGCCTTTGCCCAAAAACCAATATTTTAGTTAATGTACGGAAAGTTTGTGTGCTCTAAAATTACCTCCCGGTGCACTGCTTCAATATTTGTTTGGTTTTGGCAAAAATTACTTAATACGATTTGGCTTCACACCGAAACCGAACATGAAAATGCATTCTCATTAAAACAAGAATTACTTCACATTTATGTACAAAGACAGCGCAGGATAACAGCTACTAGTGGTCATTAAGCAGCTGGATTCAATGAGACACTGCATGCCTCGGAGTAGACGCACCGGCCGTGTAGCCGAAGAAGCACGCTCGTGTGCCTTGCAGCGGAGCAGAGCCAGGCCGGGCTGAGCAGTTGGCCGTCTGCCACTCACGTGGGTCCATAAAGTAATTAAATTTAATCCGCCTCACAGCAAATTTCAACGGATGACCGAACGTAACTCGCACTGGCATACAAACACATGCGTCATTGCGTAGTGGACGCAACGCATACGTGTCTTGTGCAAACCAACTGCGAAACCATAGCTCCCGCCGCACCGCACTCAAGTATAAAGGGTCGCTGCAATCGACGACAGGTTGGCAGTTCGCAGCTAATGGCTGACGATTGTTTGGCGCTTACTCTTGTGCCTTCCACACGCCGGCAGACTGTCTGCACTTTGCTTTCAGCTTGACTACGTTGTCAGCACTTTGATTCTACCTGAGTCTTCGTGAAGCTTCGCCTGTCTGCCTAACTCCGTGTCTGTCCATCCGTCTGTGCAATGGTTTATAAGAGCTTATATTGTTTGGTTGTTATTACTGAGCGCACTTGAACTTCAACAAAGCAGAAAGATACATAAATGCCAGTGGACTTAGGTAGGTAGAGGCAGCGACTTACGGCACAGCATACGATGCGTTGACATGACGCCCGGCGATTTAAATGGCCGGAGGGGTTGGCTAGGCGATGCCATTGCCATTCGTCCTGCTCGGGTTGCTCAACGAACCAAATATCATTGCCTTTTGACTTGTCTAGTTTATGAGTACTGTGACTTTGTGGCATTCACAGCGG